CTTATAAAACTAGCATAAATATGAGTAATTAAATTGTGCATAATGTACAAATATTTACAACATTCATTAAAAACCAAAATTACAATCGAAACAAAACACAATCTCTTTCTCTCTTCACCTAAACGTATAAATTCTCATTCGAAGTTTTTCCGATACATTTGGAATTTTTTTTCTAGTTTGAGTCAACAAGTATTGGTTCTAAACAATATCAGTGAGAATTACAATAAATAAAAAATGTTAGAATAGACCTCATAAACATTTTAAGATCGTCTTCTTAACTTTAAATGATAAGTCACATCACCTCACACACCTGTTGATACTTATGTATATCATCCGGATGTTTATTCTTCATGATACATGACGTTCTCTTTCAACAAAATCAAGATCAATAAACCTGGCCTTTTCAATGCTTTTTACCTCATTATACATAACCGAAGTCCAGAATCAAATCTCTAAACAAAATTTTACGATCATTGCAATCAAAAATGTTTTCTATCCTAAAGTACATCCACGATTCTATTCTTGACAACAAAAGAATTTGCGCTTAAACTGTTTTTCTACGTCTACAGATCTGAAGCGTTTAGATGAGCTCAGTCAGTTCAAACAACAAAGAAGTTTCATCTGAAACTTTTTTTCATACTGTTCTAAAAGCTTTGATTTTTGACTTCATCCGAAAAAATACTCATAACTAAGAAAAAAAATCACTTATTAATTTTCTAAATAGAAATGAGAAAAGAATTATTTTCTCTATTTGACAGAATCAGAACGTACTTTCTTGAATACTCTCGTCTTAGTTAATGTCTAACTGTTTATTTTCTGTCCAATACTATTGCTATAAATATTCTGTCTATAAACAAGTTTTTTAAGCGCCGTTATCTCAAACAGTCTCATTTTTTACTTGAGTCTGCTTTTGTAGAGTGTGAGCTTTCACTGGTAAAAGACCGATAAGAGAAAAATCTTACAAAAATTTCTAGATAGAGGTAATTTATCATTTGGGGTGCCTAAACGTGACCTTTTTGTTATTGAGGCATTTCCGAAAATAAATTTGTTCTTCATTCAAAAACATTTTTTATACGCGTGTAATTGCTTAGTTGTTGTAAAATAATAAATTGAGTATATAAGATAAGATAGATAAGATTTTATTTTTGCTAAAGTGCAGGATATCACAAAAAAGAACAAAAGACTTGTGGCATCCGTGGATACCCTGTGATAACCGAAAACTAAAAATTTAAAAATAAACATTATTAAAAGCCGGTGTAACCTCTCAGCATATTTTTAAATGTGGCTAAAGAAGTCTGACAGGCTAAAACAGAAGGTAGTTCATTCCAATCTTTGTTGTTCGCGGAAGAAAAGAGCTAGATGCAGATTTTGACATTAAACGAGGAATAAACATGCGACTATCATGGCCTAATCGAGAACTTTGACGCGTTGTTAACTGTAAAATCAGATCAAAAGAGAAGAGAGGACTTTTATGACTGAAAATTTTATAGAAATAGAGAAGGCAATAATATAGACGTCTGTTTGAAAGTGGTTGAATTTTAAATTGTTTGAGTACAGGCGCTGAATTTTATCCAAAATTTCGAGATGAGAAGTAAAAGTGGAACCGTAGATAACACAACCGTATTCGAGCACGGTTCTTACACAAGTTTTATACAGATGACAACGAAGAAATGAGGGCGAGTCACGAAAGACTCTTGTGATAGAGCCTAACATTTGACGAGATTTCATTGACACATATTCAATGTGAGCCTTCCACGTTAAATTATATGAAATAAGCATGCCAAGAAGCTTAAGAGACAAAACTCTTTCTATATCAACATTGTGGATTGAAAGAGTGAGTGAAGGAAGCATTTTACCAGAGTTTGAAAATAAAATTCAGAGACATTTGTTAATGTTTAATTTGACCTCATTCATATCACACCAGAGAACAAGCTCATTGATACATTTTTGAGCCTCGAATATCTTTGTAACACATAAGACATCATCAGCAAAAAGACAAGAGAGAAGAGAAGATTTAAGAGATGGTGCAAGATCATTTATAAAGATGAGAAATAAAATCGGGCTAAGAATACTGCCCTGAGGAACTCCAGACGACATTCGAACAGAAGCAGAAAAAACAGAGCCCACAGAAAGTTTTTGTGTACGATTTGAAAGATAAGAAGCGAACCATTTCAAAATCAAATGATATGCCAATTAATTTACACGTTTTATGTAGATGCTATATATAATTAATGTAACTATCATTTGTTATTTTATTACATTTTTTGGTTAAATATTTACATAACGATTGTAATAAAAAACGATCTTTTTCGTAGAAAATGCAAAGGTGTCTTTCCTATGTATATAATGACTCCTATAAGTAAAAACAGAAAGTGACTCACTAATGTTGATCGATTGTGGACGTGAGCTGGAATATAACTAACAGTCTAGATTTTTTCATGATATATTGACAGTTATGAAAATATAAAAGACTCAAATGTAAAGAGAACGAGAATTATTTGCATAAAGTGTTTTTTTTCAAGGAAAAACATATTTTTATTACAGCATATTTTTAACAAAAAATAAAGAAAAAGAGTTGATGAAGTAACTTGACTACACCGATAAATAATACTGATAAGATATGCATCATATTTTTCAAATTTATATTTAATTATGGCTCACGCATAGTTTATCACAAGCTTTCTGTTCCATCTAGACTTCACTTTTTTTTAGATTAGTTTGTCTTAAAGTTTTTTCACATTGATAACAAACAGCATGGCAGGACGTTCCCAACGACCCGTTACACCGACAATAGATGACTTAAACACGCTTGCACGTGAAAATAAGGATTTTGACACAATTTATCAATGTATTATGAAACATCCTGAATGGTTAACACAAATACCTAGTGGACGAAGATGGGGAATTATTCATCAGATAGTCTTCCATGGAAATGTCGATCAATTAAATCGTCTACTAACACAACAAGCACAAAATCCAAATTTTCTTTTATTATCAAAAACGGGTGATGATAAAACTGTCTTGGACATTGCGCGAGAGGAGGTGAAAAAAAATGCAGCAATGTATAAACGGATTGAACGCTTAACAACCATGGATGAACTACTCAGTAATGCAAAAGCTGAAAATTGGACAGCATGCAGAGATTTACTTAAAAAAATGCCTGATATTATTAATGAAAAACCAGCTTATCGTAGATTTTATTTCATTCATCAAATTGCGTATGTGGGTGACCGAAGGGTATTTGATGAGTTTAATCAACAATATCATTTTGATTTAAATTTACTCTCTAATAATGACAAATCCGCTGTCGATATTGCAAATGACCAAGGACATCATGATTTTGCCAAATACGTTAAGAGTTTAAAAGAAAAAAATCAATCAAGAACAACATCAGATCAAATTTCACGAGCAAATCGTGCAATAGAACGAAGTCGAGCAAGTGATTATATAACGGCAGCAACAAGTGAAGACCCACATAAGACACAGAATGATGATGGACGACCGCTTCCCAGCAATGGAGGTGGCATTTTAGTTGGTCTTCAACCAAATGAAAAAGAAAATTTAATTAATTCTCTAACTTGTCCGTTGTCGGGAAAAATACTCAGAGTTCCAGGTAAGAATGGCAGAATATCACTAATAAAAGATTACAAACAATAGATTTTCATTTAGTTGTCGCGTCCGACGGTTATACGTATGAAAAAGAAAATATTCTTGAGTGGTTTAAAACAAACGATAAATCTCCCGTAACCAACGAAGTATTCAAAGATAGAGAATTAAAACAGAATTATACGATTGAAACTATTCTAAAATCAGTTCCTGTCCAGTCATCATTACCCACGACACTACCCACATCGATGTCAACATATTATACCATAAAAGCCGGTGATACATTAACCAAATTAGCCGAACAGAATGGATTTAGTCTAGACCAAATAAAAGCAGCAAATCCGGAGTTAAAAAATTACGATCGATTAGCAATTGGACAACATATTAAATTTCCACGTAAGAGAAGAGAAACGTTTTCAAGAGATTAGTGTATAACTGAGTGAAGCTATATCGCAGCCTTGAGTACTTAAGAAAGAGTTCGTCAAAAAACCGATTTGGAAAGGAGAGTAGTGGCTGGAGACAATTTCTTTTTCGTTCTTATTGATCCAGTTCAAGAGAACATGACCAAGAGAACAGGACCAAGAAATCCACCAAAATATCTCGTTCTGCTATAGTTCCTGTCGAGAATTAGGTGGACCTTAGTTATCATCAGAAACCACTAAAAGCATCTTGTTTTCGATGAGATGAACATTTGCCTAATATCTCAAAAACGACTTGACTGTTAGGATCCGTTCACATCTCATTGAAAAGAGAAATGCTTGCTCTACAAAGTCGCTGTGAGTAAAATTAAAGCAAGCACTGTGGGCGGCTCCAAGGCAAAAACTGGAAAAATCAGTTTTTTTCAAACATACTTTTTTTCAGTATTTGGGATCCAGCAGTCGCTAGTATAGTTTGACCAAAAACCAGATTCTGTTATTTTGTACAGTTGATAATTCTACATCAATAAAAGAAAATCACCTGGAGAGTGCTTTGCTGAGAGATACAAATGGAGAATATACTTACTGCTTTTACTTTTAGGGACCAAAACTAAAAAGAAACTTTTACAAATAGATTTTAGATTTTCAAATTACCCATTTTGTAGAGCATATCAATTTACATATATCACGATGTTTTTCTACCCATCGATTCAGTTTTAGCTTAGTTATGAATTTTTAGTTCAAGGTGTGATCAGTGGTATCCATAAAGTGAGTCGAAAAATTGATCACACACTTTTATTTTTGAATTTTTTACATGACGCCGATGTTTAGGAAGAAATCTGAAAAGTGATTTGAGTAGCTAAAAGAGTTTCAGATGAGATGCGTAGGGTAATCCCATAAAAATATTTTGAAGACCAGATCGGCATGGATTTCGAAGAGGAAAGATTATAGAGAATACCAGTATTAAATTCACCTTTTTAAACATATTTGTAAAGTAACAGCTTTATTTATTTGAGACGTTTCGTTCTATACTATAGAACTTCATCAATCCAAACGATCAGTGTCTAGACATTGATCTCTATAATCTTTCCTCTTCGAAATCCATGCCGATCTAGTCTTCAAAACAGTTTTATGGGATTTTTATGAGATCCTGGTGATAACCAAAAGATCAGGTCCACCTAATTCTCGACAGGAGCTATAGCAAGACGAGATATTTTGGTGGATCTCTTGGTCTTTTTGTATGCTCTCTGGATCAATAAGA